TTGGGGAAAAGCAGAGAGCATGACAGCTTCAGGAGTATGAATATATATTTGGTAACATAACAACGACCAACGATCTTGAACACATTTATAAAGCAGTCTGGTAAGCCCACAGCTGCAGCAGTAGACGGTGTGCCTATGTAAAAACTATTGCCTTTAGAACGTATGTATGGGAGTCCCGTGTGGCAAGCAGGGACCCGAAGTAGTTAAGTGACAAAGGGCTGCGTAAGTGCCCAACCCGACTGAAAGTAAAACAGTGCCCAGACCGAGGCTGGGCAAGCGTAAAATAACGTTGTATCAATGAAACAAAAAGGCACAGTAAAGAACACAAGCTATTATGAGAGATTGCCCCATCTAAAACTGCCAGTTTGATTGACGTAAGCCTAAGACGCACGTGCTGCGGGCGAGCCAGACTTGAGGAGAAAGTCACGCAATCGGTGAAGAGGTTAAACTGAGAATTAAAACTACAAGCCCCAGGGACATTAACTTGCTACAACAAGGAAGGCGAAATAGACTAGGGTGAATGCGGCCCAGATCATGGAAAAATATCCTGGACACCCGATCAGCTTTCCAGGACAGAACACAATAGTCATTATTACTTAAGCGCAAACCTTGCTTAGGCCTGTGATGGGCTGGCACTGATTTAAGGTGTATCTGCCTCATACGAAAACCCTAAAAACCCCTTGGGGGAAAAGAAAAGGGAACGTATTCTCCCACAAATGCAGGTACATAACCCCTAGAGAATGGGGCAACCAGTGCCAGCAAAATTCAAGTCAGATAATTTGTAAATGCAGTTCATAAAGTGCAAAGTCCGTGATGTATAACGGAACAGGTGCCAAGGCAGCAACAGAACTCTTGCAATGCAGACGGCAGGCGAACTCTGACATCACACTTCTTGGTGGCAAAGAGAACACTGAAATGACACAACATCCCACATGGCCAGTGGAGGCAGAAGGTAAGTGAGACGCGGACACTACGTCACCCAGAGAGTCAAACCTCGCGGTTGGATGCAGAGGTACAGCAGTGCAGGCATACAAGGACAGAACAAAAAGCACAGAGTTAAACTGAGAGGGGATCAGAATAATTAGATCACCTAATAACCAAAATAGGCAGGATTTTTTTTTTGTTTGTTTGTTTTTTTTTTTGTTAATTTTTTTTTTAAATATGAAAGGGACTGATAAGTAAAAGTCAGCTATGACTGATAACGTCTGGTGATCGAATTGGGTTAACAAGGAATGGACCACTGATAGATGGCCACAAAAACTTCCCAGCAAAGCTGGATTGGACAAGAGTGGTGCTAATAATAATATTATAAGGTAAAGGGGTACTAAGACCCCTACAATTCAGGCCATATCTCTTGCGATAGCTGCTCTTTAGTTGTGGCATTCCATTGGTATTTGCACTTACCCGTTCAAAACAGATTGGGACCTAATTACGGGGTAAAAATTGGAGTATGCGCTTGAAGTAAAGTTAGATTTGCTACGTGGAATTGAAGTTAACAGTAGCTGCAAACATCATTATGCAAGTTGTACACGTGAGCAGGAATACGGTTGTGCCAATATTGCCATGTAGATAACAGCTTAATAGTCATACCCCCAGGGAAATATAATGAGTACAGAAGCCATTTATGTGAGAGAAAAAAGGTGGCACGGCATGCTCTGTATGGTTACACCAGCGGAAATAACTATAGAGCTTCTTTGTTAGGGTATGCTAACTAAGGTAAGAGGGGCATGTACATGTACGTAGGACCAGCGACAAAACACCAGGGGACACAAACTGATCCCGGTGAAACTGAGAATGAAGGTATACTAGCAATAAGCAGAACAAATATGGAAGAAACTATGAAATTATGGGGCTAACAGATCACTGCATATAATATTATTGAATATAGGCTTAATGTGTTTTTTTTTGTTTGTTTGTTTGTTTGTTTTTTTACGTGCATTCACAAATGACCCTGGCGAACGTAACCCGGAAAAAAAATCCAGGGATACCATGGACTGGCATGACTTAGAAGGTAACAGGGTTTGACCAGTGTGCCCAGCACCAAAGGTACGGGGAGAATGGAGGATAACGCCAATACAAATCAGCCCTGTACCAGAAATGATAGCTTACCTATGGCGGGGAAGGGTATCATGACTGAAAGGCCGGAAACGGCTTTGCACACCCATGCAAATGAATTAAATGGAATAATTACTAGTATGGCTGAAAATTAACCACCGCCCTGCCTTAAACTAAAATGACAAGAAAAACTTCAAGAGCTAATGGAAAGAACTGTTAAAGACCGGCCTACAAATGCTTGTTTGATGCTGCAAAATAGTGATTACATTAGAGAACCACAGATATAAAAGGATGGGCAAAGGTATGCTACAGAACTTCTCCCCATAAGAAACTAGCTTACCGTGGAAATAACGCTAAGGGAAGGTAGCAAGATTAATAAACGATGGCATCAAAACTGAACACCTCAATCATCGCTAAAATATTTATATTTAGTACTTAGAACTGCAACACTTGCCAAGGAACGGTATCCAGCGATAAAAGGAGTTCCAGTGGAAATTTAGCTATAAGAACATTCGGTCAGAACCATGTCCGTGAAAAAAATATATATATATACAAATACATATATATATATACTAGTTTACAGTGTATTTTGTATTGAACGGCGGGGAAGAGTGACTGAATCTTGCCATGATGATATTTATATGCACGTGAACTATTTGCCAACATGGAATTCAGTTTGAAACCACGTATTACAAAAAATACATGCAGCGTATTTGTATGCCCGTCCCAAAGGAAAAGGCGCCCTCTGAAACCGAGATGATTGGAGCTTCGTCGGACTTTTAAAAATATTAAAATGGACATAAATAGTAGGATCGAACAATGTAGGGCCACGCGAGAATGGCAGCGAGACGGGGAGGATTGGGCAAGAAACCCTCAAACCCAGGCCTAAAGAATATGTAACGTTTGTAACGCAATACGTACAGGAGATTGAAACAGCATGGAACTGCAGAAGGAATGCGACAAAAGAAAAAACAACCTCTTTTCAGATATCAAGCCTGATGCGAACAATAACGGGAGGAAGGGGCATGCCGGCGAAACGGAATAAATGAAGAAAATAATAAGATAAAGAAAAAGCACTGTACCTTAAGAACAGCGGCACCCAAACGGCGCTTGGCGTACGGTAGACGTAGAAAGGAGGCGACGACAGGACTGCACCAAGCGATAAAAAGGCTTCCAGCGGAAAGTTTAGCTGAAGAGCAGCGGTCCCTAAACGGCGGTAGACGTAGAAAGCAGGCGGCGACAGAGTGAGCTGGGCGATAAGAAGGATCTGAGGAACCTGACCATGGAGATTGGTTGCTAATCCAGTTGTGGCCTTCCCTGGGTTCCAGAGGATATATATATATATATATATATATATATATATATATATATATATATATATATATATATATATATATATATATATATATATATATATATATATATATATATATATATATATATATATATATATATATATATATATATATATATATATATATATATATATATATATATATATATATATATATATATATTTTGAACGATCCGTCACGGGAGCCTTATCAAACCGTAAGCACTGTGTACTCGCTCAAAAAGACGGTAAAGAGCGTGGTGCCAAAAATGGAGAGATCACGTACGACGAACTGGATTTGTGGGCTGACTGAAAACTGACCGAGCGAATGGAGAGACGGTAGAATGCGCGATGGCCGATCACGGTAGCAGGGTAAAGAGAGTTTCTCAAATATTTGTGAAGATTCAGCCGGGGATCTGCGTAGAGCGTCGGTGAAAGCCAGAACAAACCAACGTGTAGCACGTGTACGGGGTCGAGGGTCCAGGAGAGGTGCAGATGTACTTCGCGACTGAAGGACAAACCGACGACAAATGGCAGCTAAGCCGGTCAAGCGAAGGAAGAAATTAATCGAACAGGACGTGTAACTTTAGGCATCTAAAGGGGATGACCCATTGTAGCCGCCGCAAATTGTACACAGGTTAACTAACTGTAAATGACCCGGCAGAACAAAATTACTGTAACTGTTTGCTTTCGTGCAAGCTAGGCGAATAATGGCCAGGTCTGAAATAGCAGAACTTTATAGCTAGACAGTGTCTCAAATCTCGACCAATGAATACAGTTGTACCATAAGCTACCTAGTCTTATCATGATTAAAGTCTAGCCATGAATAGGGCCTTGAAAGCAGGGACCAATCTGCGCAATGCTAAGAAAAATATGATGACAAACATACGACAAATTAATTAGGTTCCAACCACGAACAGCTTTTGTTTGTATCTTAACATTAGCGTGCTTTCGTTCATAAAAAAGGCTTTAAAGATCGAACAGAGTATACATTGGGGCAGGCTACCTTAGCCTACCCCCCCCCTGGGGCTTCATGTTCCATTAACTACATTTACCGTCTGGTAAATGTCTTATTAAAAGTTTGCGCTCTTGTGCATAAAATTCAGTATCAATAAAAGGATACACCTCCTGCCCTCTATGACTTAGTTCAACCGGCTTCTGCTGTCCATAATTATAATACTAGGTATGCCACTAATCAAAACCTGTGCAGACCGTTTTCCAGAACTAATTATGGCCTAGCAAGGTTTAGTGTAGTGGCATCACAGACCTGGGAAGCAACACCTATGAAAATCAAGTGTGTGCCCTTGAACAGTTTTAAAAAAGAATATAAACTCTTTCAACGATCTGTTATTTAGCTGTATTTATTTATAGTTGTTTGATTTAAATAGTTTTTTATAAGTATTGTATAACGTCCACCCACTTGTAACGGCTCTGTGGTAGTAGCCAACTAGAAAGCTTTGCTCCTTTGGCTGCTACACACTTTTTTCCTCTATGTTTAATTCAATGTATAGTCAGCTCTGTTTTCCTTCTTTTGTTTCTTATTATTGTTGTATTGCAATTGAATAAGTGTGAATAAATGAATTTGAACTTGAACTTGTAACAGGTTACATTCATGGAACAGTCAACAGCTGGTGCAAGTGGGGCAGCTCCACCTAAAACGAAGAAGGAACCTGGAGCTCTAACAGGGAAGAGTGTTGTAGTGTTGAAGCCTTGTGACGTCACAATAAAGGATGGGACAGTATTCATGCCTAACATGATAGAAATGGCTCAACTCAAAAAATCAGAAAAAGGACAGTTTAAAACAAATGTGCAGTTTTCTTCAAAGATGACGGAAACGGACATAAAAAGGATATTAGCGGAGACGTTTCCTTTTCTCGAATGTCAAAGGTAATGATATAATATATCAGTGAGTTTACGCAACAGGACGGCTGAAAGAATAGAACGGCAAAATGCTTAACTGTGACAAACGTGACAGGTCTACTACTGCTACTACTACTACCACTACTACTACTACTGCCACTACCACTACCGCTACCGCTACTACTACTCCTTCTACTTCTACTTCTACTTCTACTACTACTACTACTACCACTACCACTAATAATAATAATAATAATAATAATAACCTGGTTAAACAGGATGACCATTTCAGTTATAAAAACTGCTATCAATGTGGGTTCTGTATAAAAATAAATGAATAAATAGATAAAAACTTAATTATATACGAAACTGGGATACATTACATAATTATATTCAATAAACAAGGGTAGCCTCCTTATGAACAAAACTACATACAATCATTAAAAAGGGTAGCCCCCCACCCCTTATAAAAAAAAAAAGCTCCCTTAGTCAACTCGAGATTGACTTTACCAATAGATAACCTATATTTAGACCTAGTGTCATAGTCATGAATACCATAAGTTCGCCGTCGAAAATAATCTGAGAATTGTCAGGAATTCACTTAACATTGATGCTTTTTGCTCTTCTGCAAGAAAAAGTGTTTAAAGGAATGTGAGGTTTGGCGGAAAGTTTTTTCAAAGAAAATCATTGTCACGCTTGTCACACAAGGTTTGCCGTCGTCTTTCGTCTCCCGTCTTGTTGCAGAAGTTTACTTTTATTATACGAGACGGTTTTGATTAAGAAAAATTAATTCAAGGTAATTTGTAAATGAATGATTGCCGTCCTTTTATACTAACTAGGCATCTTCAAGGACCAGTTGAGGATAAATTGCAAGACAGTCCTATGCAAACACTATAGCGGGAGATAAGTAGCCTCCCACGTATACGAGACGTAGCCTGTACACAGACGTTGTTTTATTTTTGCTTTCGTTCTTTTCGGAAAACATCAGCGAGCTCGCGAGAACGAGCGCAGACCGCGAGAAAGAAAAATAAAGAATTTCTTCCCTCACCACTACCCCCTTGCGCTGGCGGTCAATAAATCCCGTGCGGTTTATATTTTATCACCCGGACTCGAAGGACTTTGAAGAGAAAATAGAGGGTCTGTGAACAGGTTAAAGTAGACGTTCTGTTAGCTCGTCACGCAATCCTCCCCAACGTTCGTGGGGCAGGAACGCGTGACAAACCCCTAAGAACGTCAGTTTTAGTAGGAGGCTAGGAGATAGTGGATGATTTCAAAAAGCAACAAATTAAAGACAGGGCAATCCCATAGCATTTCTCGCTTTTAGAATGGAACGAATTTCGCCGGGAACGCTAAAACTTTGATCTTTAAAGAGATGTTCTCGTGTTCTTATTTTTATTGATTAACTTAAACGAACAACAGCGGTCGATAAATGTTGTAAGCCCTGTTGACCTTGTTGTACTACAATGATCGTGTGGGCAGTGGGTTTTCTTTGCAGCAGTAACTAATCGAACAAACTCGCAGTACAGTCGTTTTGTCTGATTTGTTTAGATTTTTCTGATGATCGCCACTTTATCTACCATAGACGATGCTTCATTGAGCGCAGCATAATATAGATATATTGAATATAATTAATTTTAGACCTGAGTGTTTTTTCCTGTTTGCCGACGTAGGTTCTACTGTGCTGGAGCAGTGGACCGTCGAATAAGGTTAGACTTCCATGGAGAGCGTCGGATTTGGGATGGACGTCTTATAAAGAAGAAAATAAAAGGAAACTCCACTCTCTACATTTATACTGATGAGGTAAGGTTTCTATGTAAACAAATAAAATAATACTGAAATCATTTTAAACACCCTTAATTTTTTAATAGTTGAAGGCTTTAAAGTTTATGGGAAGGATTAAAACTGGCGAATTAGTTATACGATGAATTATCACTGAGCAGCTCCAGCACCGAGGCTACCCAAGAACATTTTCCGGCTATGCTTCTATAAGATAAACTAGTTCTGGGATACTTATCCTTTATTGTCCTGGCTGAGAGGAACAATCCTCTCCAAAAATCCACAAAACGCCTATGAACTTCCCTTTCCTAAATTACGGACAGTATTAAATTTTAAATGTGACTCTCACCGCTTTATTCTGCCCACTAACGTACAATGTGATTGTAAACCCATGTTTTCAAAGTTGTTTTATAATATAAATGTAATAAAATTAGTTTGTGTTTTAATTTCAGTCGCCAAGTTTTGGTACCTTACAGAAATATGAAGGTAAGCTTAACTTTCGTCTTAAAATCTCACGATAAAATATTGAGTTCAAGTTTATAAACGACCTATTTACTCCTTGCCATCATTTTCCTCCAGTAAATTGTATACCAGATTGGCGCGATAACAATCCCATTGCATCATCCATCGATGCCAACGTCCAGCAATCACAGGAGGAAATGGATCAAAACCAAGCATATGGCACCGTTCAAACGTCTCAGCCACTTGACGCAGTGCAAGAATTGGTGAGTGTTTGCTATAACCGACATCATAAACTAATTAGAAGGTCTTTTTTGCACTCAGATTTTAGAGTTGAAAATAGTGCTGCATCGTGGTTTATATGAATAAATAAATAAATAAATATCGTTTTTTCCACTTCTTGCAGATAACTGAATTAACAAGCGGTTATAACTAACAATAACGCTAGTATAATTATAAATACATAGCTTTAATGTAGTTCTCCTTAGTTGTGTTGTTGTTTTACTGCACTGCAGCAGTTGTGAGCACAGGTCACCCACTTAAAAAACTACTTAAGATGATGATCATAAGGGATACTTAAACGACGAATATTTAAAAGTAAAAACGTTCTATGATCTCTTAGTTCTCGTGAACATATTGAATGATCGAGGAGAACCAGGTGTAAAGTTATAAGGATTAGTTCTTTGTACAGCAGTGGAAACCAAGCACAATAATGGGTGGTCACGGGTGTCTGTCATCTCAGCCATAAATTTATGACATAGGAGCTCGCGTCTGTTAGAAAGTATAGTTTCGTTGGCTAGCTACAAGGTTCAACATTTGATTTAGAAGTCGCATTTCACATGTGCCTAATATTTAACAATTATTCCTCGAACCCGAATGGGCTTTGAGTCAATGGCCCATGAGGCCGAAGGCCGAATGAGCTGTTTACTTAGAGGCAATGAGCGCGAGAGGAATAATTTTTTTAGTAAAATCCAACTAGTCGGTCAAAAATATCGCGACAAAACAACTTTACCTAGCAAAGAGCGATTCAGCCGCCATCGCTTTGGTTTTCAAAGCCGGCCCTTTCGCTACTAGTGGGCTATAACATATAGCCTAGTGGTGGCTCAACCGATCAGAACGCAGCATTGATAATATACCACTAATTGGATTTTACTAATGTGTTGTTATACGCTATGTAATGTTTATTTCTATTTATTTGTATACGTTTGTGCAGGCAGGTGAAGACTGTTTTAGTAATATGGCCATTATAAGTAAGGACTGGTCAATATAGATACCAAGATATTTAGCAACAGTGACGGGTATGATGGTATGATGGATATTTGTGTTTCTCCAGGGGTTTAGGTCTGTGTAATATTTTGTGTTGCATGTTGACAGATTGAAAAGTCAGTCACTGTCGTAACGTCATCACCAATCCTGGCTGGTAGATTTCGCGTAAAGAAGAATTTTTAATTAAGAATTTGCTTTATTTAGTACATTTGGCTCCACTTGACTCAATCGTTGTTTGGTCAACTCAAATTTGCACTTCAGTTTCCTTCAGAAAAGAAGGCAGATCGTTCATGTACACAGAAAAGAGAAGAGTGCTTAAAATTAAGCCCTCTGGGACTCCTTTATCTAGAATTGCATGACTGGAAAGCACACCAGTTACTACTGAGCAGACTTGTTTACGTTCGAACGTAGGGCCTGGACCAGTTTATTGCAATTTAGTGACCTTTGAATGGTGCTCTTCTGAGATTAAGCTTCCTTAGTTGGCTAAATTAGTTTCTTTTCTCTTAAAATAGGCTGCAGCTATGGCGACAATGCAGCCATCTGATACGCACGCAAACTTCCACGACCAGAGTGTAGTGGTCTTAAAAACAAGTGATGTTAACAGAAGAGGCAATGATGTGTTCATGCCAATTACAATCAAAATGGCTCAAATAAAAAAGCCAGAAAGGGGGCAATTCAAAAACGTAAAAGTTACCATAGAGATGACAGAAAGAGACGTAACAGAAAAGCTGTTGGAGGCATTTCCATATCTTCGAAATCAGAGGTAATATAATCATAATAACACTCTTGAATATTAAAAAATAATGATATTTTCAATGATTGCAGTCTATTGACCCTTTGTTAGTCATCGGCATGATCAATATATTTATCTCCTGTCCTAGGTTTTACTGCGCAGCCGCAGTAGACAATCGAACGAGATTAGACTTTAATGGTGATCGCCGAATTTGGAATGGACGTTTACTAAAGAGGCTTCTAAAGGGAAACTCGGCTCTTTATATTTTTGTTGATGAGGTAAGTAATGGACATCATCTTTTAAATACAACACTGGGGATAATAACACTTAAATGTAGTTATAATTAGGAGCTTTAAAACTACTTACTTTAAGTATACCGTTAACTTTTTCAAGCTACTTCTTTTTTATGGATTATGCCTGTGCCACAAGAAAATTTTCGAAATTCTACCTTTCCCACCATTTTCTGATTTTTGTAAGTTAATCCGGTGGGTAGCTCTTCTTAATCTCAGTGAAATCTTGCTTGAAACCAGAATTAGAACAAGAAACTAGATTCAGAAGTAGACTGAAGCAGACGTAGAAAAAGAAATAGCAGTAGAAGGGGCGCCTCGTTGATACCCTTTCGTTTCTGCTGGGCGTGTTGCCCCAGCACCTCAATACATGCTAATCAAATCTTTTACCTAAAACTATTCCCATCGCCTTTTTTAGCCTATATGAAATAACATACTGTGAGGTGAAGCTACATTCCAATTTTTTTTTATTATCTAGCTCGACAGTTAAGTTTAGGCTGCATTCTGACCTCCAAAACTTCCTCGCGAAATACGTGATGATAAGGTTATAGAATTTATGTAACGTTTACGATTATTGAGTTGTCTATCGGCCGGTTACAAGGTTCCTTGAACATCCGTCGGAGCCACCTCAGTAAACGGAACATTGATGTATCTCGTTGAATTGCTCTGGAGATCTCTTATCACAAAATGTGTCAAAACCTCTGTTTGGATTTAAGGGCGAGTTAACCAAGTTAAATTGACTGCGTGAGCTTTAACATGCAAATGAAGGAGCCTTCTCTGCTTGCGCACAGACGTTTTCAGGAAGTAGATGCTCAGGATGCAGCTTCTTTTGAAGCCAATTATCTGATAAAAGCTATACATATTAATTTAACCTCCTTTATCTGTTTTTAAACGTGGATAAGCAGTTGGTTTGTTCGAGTTTTAATTGTGTAAATTACTGAGTCATAAGTAATTACTGTTACCCTCATTAAATAATAATAGATTATTATTATTATTATTATTAAATAGTTTTTATTTTTTTTTATCAACTTTTTGATGCTTTTTATAATTGTTATTAGTAGTCTTTAGATATTCATTTTACAACAATTCTCTTTCGTAGACAAGAAAAATGTACATAGGGTATATATTTTAATATTTCATATTTTTGAATCTGTAAATAGTCTATTTTTTTTTTTTTAAATCTATGAATAAAGTTTTGTTTTAAAAAAAAAAAAAAAAAAAAAATTATTATTATTATTATTATTATTATTATTATTATTATTATTATCATCATTTTATTAACCTTCTGCCACTCGGAAACGTCTCTCATCAAGCTATTATGTCATTTCTTATCAATTTAGCAAGTTCCCGGATATGCAAACATGGCACCTCAATCAGAAGCATCATCGAGGACAGCTGTGGCGACAGCAAAGCGAAATGGAGTAGATTTGGATGCTATTCTTGTGACATCTTCGCATTCTTTGCCAATAGGTATTGTGCCAGATTACTTGATTTCCTGATGCTTTTAACTGGAAAATTGACACTTCTCGACTTTCCATGGGCGTTCGAATTCAGGAGAAATTTTTGAGTAAATTTCGATTTGCCGCCGGAAGACGAGAAGTTTCTATTCCAAACGTAGAAAAACAAATGAATACATCACGTCCGTTCCACAGAGCAGTAAAACAAGCAAAATAGACAATGCCCCTTCGGTCCCCCACAAAATAACAGCTGCCACCTTAAATCCGTGGACTACAGGATTGAAACTGTTGCTTCATAAGTGTTACTTTTCAAATCTATAAAAAATCTCGGACTCTCTTTTCAATCAAGCCGAAGTATAAGAACTGAAGCATTAAAAGCTACATCTTTTCCCTCTCACTACACGTAGCTTCTGTGTTACAGCGTAGTGGTGGCGGAGCGATTACTAAGCGCTGTTTCTTAATAATGACGGGTGCCTTAATGCCAACGAGCAAGCCGAGCGAAGACGGTCGGCTTGCGAGGCGGCCAGCTTAATGCCACGCGAAGTATTGCAGCAGGCAGAAAAATTCTCGATCGTGCTGTGAAAAGTGTAATGTAAGTGTAATGTAAGGTGTAGATTCCCTGGGGATTTTAGTAGCGTTAGATTTAACGTGTAGTTTCACGTGACTTTTGATGACCCGTTTGTTGTAAACAAACCTTCAAAGTTCGGACGTTGTTCTCTGCCACACTACTACTGTACTTGTACGAACTACAACTCGCTATTTCAAGTTCGCGCTAACCTATAAATGTTATTTTTCTTTCGCTGATTGAAACTCGACAAGTTTAAGGTTCAAAAATGTCTAAGCAGAAGAATAAGAGCGATTTTAAGGCCAAGAGCATGGCAGAAATGTAGGAACGAGGAGTGCTTGTAGTGGAAATTCTCGCCTCAGCAGCTGAAATGGTTTTATAAACATTGGAACTAAAACCGGTGATGTAGGCAAATTCTTTTTCTTTCGTTGGCACTTAGCGAAAGCTACAGCTAGTTTCCTAGTAATGAATGCGGAACCTTTCGATTGTTTGCTATTGTCCTTTGACACTGAATATGCTGAAGTACTAAGCTAGGTGACATCATTATTGCTGTCAATATTGGTTATTTGGATCTGCCAGGGGGTATGACGTTAAATGCGTTCCTCCTCTACTGTTTTTATCACTTTTGAACGAATTAAAGAATGTTTTTTCATTGTTGCTGCAAATTAGAGTTTCAAACATAAACGCCACTCTCAAAAAGTAGGCTTTTTTACAGTTGTACGCTTAGGGTAGCCTTTAAATAGAAGCGAGGCTGGAATTGACCTTGTTATGTTGCAAAAATTCCTGGTTTTTATGTGCAAATCATGTTATTCTCATCCTAAAAATTCCGTGAACATCATCCTTTACAAGTTGCAAAACCAGGTCACCTTCAGCCTCGCTTCTAGTCAAACGGGCGGGTGCACTGAGCACACAACTCTAAAATGCCCTATTAAGCCACTGTCGTACCCATTGAGTGCATTTACACTTGCTTTATTTCTGGTCTTCAGGTTCAAGTGTGCATAGAGAAAGCCATTTTCTAACTCAGCCAGCCCAGAGTACGTTTTGTGTGTCGTCAGTAAGTGATTCGCCGAAAGAATTGCCGGTAAGGAGGTTTGAAAATTGGTTGCTTATAACCATAAAATATTTGAGCCCTTGTAATAGATAGGCACAGCTGTACACTACGACTGCCCTGGTGAGTGTAGTCTTGATGTTTCGATACTTTTGTGGGAGTTATCATAAGAAACTGGGAAATCGGGTCTAAGTGATTCTCCTCAAGAAAACCATGGTCTTAGATCAGGTAGGGTCTTAAGAAGGAGTAATAAGGAGTTCCTTATGGAGGGGAATACTGGACAAACTTGTTATTGGATCGTACCATAAGGTGCATTATATCGAATTTGCCTGTATACTGTCTTGCCGTACCCGGTATGCTGTTATGTCGTACTCGATAATGTTGTATTTTAACCGGAACACTGTATTATCCTACTCGGTAACCTGTAACCAGAGTAGTAACCATGTCGTAACCAGAGTAGTATTGTATCGTCCTCCAATGCTGATGTATCGTACCTTTGATCGTAACTTGTATGTAACTTTTAGAAAATTGGAGACCGATTTCACTTATCAACATTGATGTTCAGGTTATCCTGGTCTTAGCCACCAGGATAAAAAACGTCCTACCAAGCATTAGGCCACTTCCGAGTTCCAAAAACCTAGGCTAGGTGCGCAACCTTTCTCGTGAAAATGAGTTTTTTGCATGAGAATGAAAAATGATGTCCATATCAAAGGCTGGTCACCTACCCTCGTTTTGAAACAGAGGCCCGGGGGAACTCGGAAATGGCCTATAGCCAAGTGGTTTTGAAGTTATGTATCAAGGAGCGCCAATGTATAACAATATCGTGATTATTTTTTTTTTTCGATTATCGTCTCACAACAGACTGTTTTTATCTGTATAGGGGGGTGAGGTAAGGGTACCCTCTTTTCTCCATATTTCTTTATGATTGCAGTTGAAACTATTGCTCTAGCTGTTTGTCAAAATACAGTTATAAACGGCATTTCAACCTGTGATGAAGACACAAACAATGATGATACAACAGCTGTTCTATTTGACATGACTTCGGCACCGGCCCCTTTTAAACCCGGGGGTACTCAACAAAGTTTTATACCGAGAGGCTCCGCCCCGAGGTCTAACCCCTGACTTTATGTACCATTTTTGACAAAAAAGGTACGACTTTTATATTAAAAACTTTTATTGACAAATGCCGCCCTTTTCACAAACCTAGTTTAGAACTTTGCATTTCTTTCAACCGCTGTAAATGCGCTGTCAATTAGATACGAGCTAGTCACAAATCCAGAACATTTCATCGACTTTTTTACAGCGATATATAAATTCTTCTACGGGCCTATTAGGTCATTTTATAAACGGAAAGAAGAGATCTTCCTACCTTTTCATCAACTTCATATTCCTGAAGCCTGCAAAAGGTACCCTTTTCGGGTGGCCTGCCCGCATAGGCCATTATGGGGAGAACCCCTCTCCCCCACCCGCGGACCCCGGGTCTTTAACCTCCTTGAAGTTTTTAAGAATTTATCAGGACTTGTAATTAACTCATCTAAAAATGAAGGAATGTGGATCGTCTCATCCAAAGGTAAAATCCAAGACCTTTTGGTATAAAATGGCCTGATGAACTGATTATATCAAACTTTTGCCGAAAAAAAACATGTCTTAAGGGATTAGACAATGTCAAAAAAATATATAAGAGTTCTTTCTATCTGTGGAAATTAACAATAGCAAAATTTTTAATTATACCAAAATTAAACATCGGTTGAAAAAGTGATATTTGAAATACCTTGAAAATTAACGATGGTTAAATATAAATCTGCATTTTTGACGCGTAACAGTAAAAGAACAACAATTTTTGGCCGTTGACGAGGTATTCGACGGCTAACGGTTAAACCTATTGGGAACCTAAAGTAAAACACCTTAAGCAAGCAAAGCACGTCAAGCA